GAACACACCTCGATAATAGGTTCAAATAGTAGATCTACTGATTGCTGGTTTGACCACGCTCTGCTACAGTTTTCGAACCTATTTATAATAACACTATATTACTTATGGGTAACATAAATAAATCTCTAAAATCATAAAATTTACGGGTCTTACGGGTGAATACTGGCACACGTGGTTTAATTGATCTAGAAGAGCTGGATCGAGTTATCGAACGATCCAGAGAGTCTCTTGTACCTTCAAACAATAATAATGTATCAGCCCCAAATCTTACTTAATTGTTCAAAGTTAAATTCTTAAGTATATAAGTATTTTCAGGGTTTGACTATCAATTTGGAGGATTTCGGGTTTGAATTTGGCCAAACGGATTGCAGAATCGGATTCAGGACGTCGAAAAAATAAAGTATGTCTTTTCAAAAATCTAAATTATTGGTCAAAGTCAAAGTCAACCACTTTGACCGACGATTTGGAGGCCTTCGGGTTCGAATTTGGTGAAATGGACTTCGGAAACGGATTCGGGACGTCGAAAACTATCAGAATAGGTATACTTGGAAAAGATTAACGATCGCTTAATGGTCGGTCAAAGCCATTTTAAGTTTTGGTCAAAGAAAGTCAACGGTCAACGGTCAGGTCGGGTCGGTTGGGTCAGACCGGTCAACACGGTTTTCCAGCTGCTCACTCTCCCTGCGGCGGTGCGTGAGACCTCATATGGGGCTCTAAAAATCCCGGAAAAATTTCTAAAAATTATTTTGAGCGATTTCAAGATACTTACAAAGATCAGTTCAAATTTTTGAACGGCAGAGAGCTCGATTTCAACTCGGCCAAATCTTTGACTGCTTCACCTCCTCACGCACCGTCGTCGACTGAGATTGAGGATGACACCGGCAGACTCGAAACGGCACAAGGAACACGATGGTGCAGGAGTTGTCGTAAACGGAGCAACGATCGACGGTGAATTTGAGATTTTCCCGGTGATAGAGCTAAAAAAAAGTCGATGCTTTGACTTGAAATTCCCGACGTTTTCCAGCGTTTCGTTTCAATTAATTTAAGGGGATTGTTCCTGACTCGATAACGAACACGATGGTGATTTCAAAACGACGATCGGAATTCGGACGGCGTCGGGATCTAAGTCGGAAACCGGCGTAGGGGGAAGGGAATTTGGGAGCAATTGAGGTATGGTTTTCTATTTTGAAACAGAAAACCACGTTTATAATATAACATACCTAACTTTCTTGGGTAAATTCAAGACTTGGTCCCTGAATTTTCTTTAACTCTAAAACAAGCTCCAAGTTTTAAAATCTTTCAATTTAGTCCCACAATTACGATTTCACAATTAAAACCTCCAATTTCAATTAAATATATTTTTAAAATATCCGGGTTGTTACAGATATTCTGGTGTTATATGTAAACAACAACAATAACAACAAAACCCAATTCCCATATGCAATGGGGTCAGGGGGAGGTAGGGTAGTAGGCTGCCCCCAACGCCAGGTTGAGAGTAGCTTCCGTGGAAGACCTCCGGCAGTCAGAAAATTAAAAATATAGATAAAATGCAATGCATGTATAAATAAATACATAAATACATAGTTGAACAGTATTCATATGCAGTCATTAATATCACCTGGGCGTCTGTAATGGGAAGTAATCCCTGCCAATAAATCCCTGCGAAAAAATCTCTGCATATAGACAGAAACGTAAGACCCAACTAAATTTAAAAGTGAAGAGAATGGTACACAGAAGTCAACGGTAGCAAGCCCTAATTCTAAGCCTTCATAAATACCAATAACAGAAACGTATAAAAAGTATAAGTCATTGAAATTACTACAAAGACATTAAAAGAAGACAGAGATGATACACCTAAATATGTGCCCCACACTACTCGACTACCTAGTCTTAAGTCTCCATACTTTCCTATCAGAGGTCATGTCCTCGGAAAGGGCTAAATCCATCAAATCAGATCTCAAGCAGTCTTCCCACTTCCACCTTGGTCGTCCTCTCCTTCTGACACCGTCGACTATAATCTACTCTACCCTCATGACCTCATCCGACGGTAGTCACCTAAGGACATGCCCAAACCACTATAGTCTTTCCTCCCTCAATTTTTTGGAAACAGACACCACCCAAGGACATCCTAATAGCAGAATTTGTTGTCATATCCCACAGAGTCCTACTGCATGTCCATCGAAGCATTCTTATTTCTGCGGCCTCTATCCTCCTTACGTGATCCTTCTTAGTTGCCCAACATTCTGATCCATACAACAGTGCTGGTCTTATTGCCATTTTATTAAATTTTCCCTTTAATTTTAGAGGCACCTTCTTGTCACACAAAACTCCAGTAGCGACTCTCCACTTTAGCCATCCGCCTTATACGGTGTGTAACATCATCATCTACCCCCCATCTTTATGTATCATAGACCCTAGGTACTTGAAACAATCCTTTGAGGGAAGAACGTATCCTTCTATGCATACTTCTACATCTTCATCGTTTTGGTCCCCACTGAAGTTTGAACACAAATACACTGTCTTTTCAATATTGATCCTTAGACCTTTTTCTTCCAAAGAAGTATTCCAAATAGCCAGTTTACTATTTAACTCAGATTTTGTTTCAGTAACTAGGACAATGTCGTCAGCGAAAATCATACACCATGGTACACCAACCGGTGTCGCACAATAGATGTAAACCTTAAATGATAAGTCTGCCACGCTCGATGAGCACCGATGAGCACCATTAATTTAATTTATAAAAAATAAAATTATAAAGGACTCACGTATAATTATAAATTAGTTAAAAATCGAAAGGTAAATTATTTAAAATAAAATATTAATTACATTATTTTCCATATTTTTAAAAAAATAATTGGATCAAATACTAACCCCTAAATTATAAAACCCCAATATTTCTTCTATCGCGAGGTAGTCGCTGCCGTTCCTTCCTCCCTATGTGGCCATCGGTGAAAGAGGCTAACGACAGTGGCGACTTTGATGACAAGAAAAATATTTAGTGTTTTTTTAATTTAGGAGTTTGATATTGACCAAATTATTGTTAAAAAATATTATAAAAATAATGTAATTAATATTTTATTTTAAATACTTATCTTTCAAATTTTAACTAATTTATAATTATACATTGAATCATTTAGAATTTTAAATTTTTATAAATTAAATTTATGATGCTCATGTTAGTGGTGCTCAGCGACGATCGAGAGCGTGACAGACTCATCCTTTAAGGTTTAGTTATAACACAGTGTCTCATAACTTTATTTTATGATGTAATCCTTTTAGGCACAATGTCAAAATTAACCTCAAATGTTTATTAATTTGACTCTTTTTTGAAATTTTACTTCATAACATTTCATTTTACGTTTTAATTTGATTGAATAATCACCTTAACCTTATTCTTTTATAGTATTTTGACTCTTCATATTTCATTTTAGGGTAAAAAGACCTATTTTGATGTTCAATGGTGCTCGTCAAATGTTGTAGAATTTTTCAAACCTTAAATTAGGTGGAGATGAAATTCGAAACAAAAATAGTTAACCTTAAGATGAAGATGAAACCTAAACTTGAAGATTTGTAGACATTCATGTCATTGTAGTTTAAAATTTCAATATAAATAAGTGATTTACTTTTACCCTCTGTGAATCAAATATTTATGAAAGTTGAAAGTATGATAAGATAGGGTTCTTCATAAATTAAGAATTCAACTTCTAACTAAAGATAAAAGCCAAAGGATTCTTATTTGCTTTTGAATTAAAAATTGAGTTTTTTTTTTCTGTTTATATCTTGCATAAATTCCATTTAAAGATTGCATGTAATCATTTAAAATGCGATAAAAATAGTTTTGGTTTTTAGTCATATCTGTAGACTATGAAAAGTTAGTAAATAATCATTCAAATTATCGATAGTTATAAATTGATCATTAACCGTTAATTTTGGAAAAAGAAAAGGAAATGGATTTAAACCTAGATTAAATAAGAAGTTTAGAGCATTAAACAACCGAAATAAATCTTACATTTATATAATAGCTGGATAGATTATATATATATATTTAAAGAGTAATTTATACAAGATTAAGAAAAATTAAATTTAAAATTTATAAATATTTAAATTAAATATTTTTCTTCATATTTTAATTTAATGATTATATATATAATTTTTTATGCCACATAATTAATTATATTAATTAATAATTAAATTAAAAAATAAAACATGCTCTTTTAATAATTTAATAATTTTGTTAACGGTCATATTTCCCTTAGGGTGCGTCTGGTTCACGGAATGTAAGATTACCAGTGGGAATAAAAGATTACCAGTGAATAACTTACTGAGAATGTTGTATTTGTGTTTGGTTGATTTAGCAGGAATGTAAGATTACCGTGTTTGGTTAAAGGAATAAAAGATTATTGGAATGTATATTTGAGCAAATTGTCCTTATTATATATTTGTAATATTACAAATTGTAAAATATTTATATTTTCTTTAAAAAAATTAAATTCATAATATTAATATATATTTTTTACAAAATTAAAAATATAAAAAGGTTTAATGAAAGGGTAAAAAAAAATTTAACCCTGAACTCATATAAAATTTTAATTATAGATTTTTTTGTAAATCTAAAATAATTTAAGGATAAATTTGTAATTTAACCTTCGTAGAATTTTTTATTCAATGACAGAAGAATGATATTTTGAAAATAAAAATAAAATTTAAAGGCATTTTAGTCCAAAACGCGATAATGTTACAATACCTAAGGGAAGGGAAGTAATGACATTCCCGGTAATATACCCAAAAAAATATACTATTAGTAATAAAATATTACCGGAATGAGATTCCGTCCAACCAACATGGGATATGAGATTCTCATCCCATGGAATCTCATAATCCTTGAACCAAATACTCATTAAAGTAAAAGGGGACAATATGGTCATTCGGTCATTCCCTCAGTTTACTCCGTTTTTTTTAATTACATCTCTCAAAGTTAAACCCATAAAACCTGAAATAGGGTTTATCTCTCACCTGAACAAAAAAGTTTGGTCAAAGATCTTAGAAGCCAAACATTCAACCCATTGCCATGGGGAAGCGATTCGGTGGAAAAAGAGGTTTTCTCTTCTTTCTTTGTTAATCAAGCCGCTCCATTCTCTCCTTATTTTCTTTCTTATATTTTGTGACGTGATGAAGATAATTAGCTGCTAGATTATGGTTGAATTTATAGCAGGACTGAAAAGGCACACGACACCGGATAAGTTTGAGGCAAGGGCTCCGGCAAGAAACAGGAGGCGTGTTGAAGATGAGGTTGACCATAGTTCCTCCGCACCTATCTTATCAGGCATGTGATAATTGGGCTGCTTTATTGCAAGTTTTTTTTTCAAATTTATGGTTGCTGGACTACTTATTTCCTAATCTAATTGATATGCTAACGGGACTATTGTAGATTTTTTTAGAAAAACAATGTCCCTTACTTTATGTTTTTAAATTGTAACAATCCCGGTTTCTGAAATTCAAATTTAAATTTTGACTTAGGGATTTGGCCCTTCAACTCTATATCTGGCTGATGAGAATTAGTGATTATAATTTCGAAACTTTTTAATCGGAATTGATGATTTAAATTTTGTTACATTATCCAAAGCAGGGGAATTATCTGGGGAAGAATCTAGTGGTGGCGCTTCAGAGGAACTTAATTATAAGGAGCTGACAGCTTATGATAAGTTGTTGTCAAAACTCAGTTCAAGTAACCGACCTATTCTGATGCCTATCAAAAGAGGTTTTTCTTCTCCTATTATTATTCAGCGAGATTTCATATTGATGCTGGGTTTTTAAATCTCTTGTTCTATTCTTTTTGTTCTACAAGTTTTTCTTCTGCATGTAATGAAATGAAGCCTAACAGTTTGATAATATTCTGTCATGAACAAAGACAAGTTGCTGAGGATGATGTAACTGATGGCTCTGAATCACTTAGTGTCAGAAGAGGAGAAGGGTTTTGAGGGTAAGTGACACCATTTTTATTTCTTCCTACAATTATTATTTTGTGGTTGAGAATGGTATCTTTAAAGATCTTTATTCTTCTCATCAAATTAATAGATTTTCTTGTGTACGCAGATGTTGTTTTCATTTGTCTCTGTGTCTTTATCACTTTTCTTTCCCATAACAATTTGAAAATGAAGGTTTTTTTTTTCTGATCAATGTTTTTTTCCGCATAGAAACTGATAGTGATTCACTTGGATTGCAAGAGCCTGCCGTTGCTGGTACTGAAAAACAGACTGAAGATAACCTGGAGACCTCTGACACAGATGAAGATGACGATTTGATTCTCCGTAGTCCTACTGTTGCCACAGGTTTAATTGAATGCTGTCTCATTTTTTTTGTAATTTCAACTATTTTTCATCTTAAAATTTTGGTGTTTGAGTGAGTTTCATACTTAAGTTTAATTTCCCGAGGACTTAAGGAAGGTATTTATGGCTTGTCATTTTGAAGTCTGCATATCAATTTTATTTTATGTGCAGTTTTTACTAAACATGTTGAGTACAAGTTGTCAAAAGTAGAGGCTGATGATTTGTCCAAGAAGAAATGGAAGTATGCATGGGAGTTGCCTGCTGCTGACATATCGAACTGCAAGTGGGTTGGAACAGGGGAGTGTTTTCTAAAGGTATATCTGCATCTTCATGTACATTTTAACTCTTCTTTTCCCTTCCTAATATTGTTAACCAATCATCTAACAAAATTATCTGCACAGTTTAATCTATCTCCCTGTTGTAGGTTTAAATGTTAACATCTAAGTTGTCTTTGATTGAGGTGCACTGTTTGGTGTGCATTTGACTATTGTTTTACATATGTACTTGTTTTATTTTGGGATGAGATCCTTCACTGGATTCCAAAATGAAATTGGGGTACATACAATTTGCTTTTTATTGCTTTTAAATTTGAATTCGAAAAAGTGAAAAAAGAAGAAAAGAGCATGATTTTCCTTTAGATGATTTTGTATATCACTGATTTTTAATTGGCCTTTTGTTCTATTCCTGTCAAATATATGATTGTTACCATCATGCTTGGTTTGAACGAAATAGGATATTGCTTCTAATTTACCGATATTCTAGATTTTTATGCTGATAATCAGCTTACCTTAGAGTGTGTTTGGTTCACGGAATGTAAGATTACAGTGGGAATGTAAGATTACCAGGGAATAGGATTCTTGAGAATATTGTATTTTGGTTTGGTTGGTTTAGCAGGAATGTAAGATTACCGTGTTTGGTTAAAGGAATAAAAGATTATTGGAATGTATATTTGACCAAATGTCTTTATTATATATTTGTTTTTTAACAAGTTGGAAAATATTATATATTTTCTTTAAAAAATTTAAAATCATAAAATTTATATTTTTTTACAAATTGAAAATATAAAAGGTTTAATGAAAGGGAAAATTTTATTTTAACCCTGAACTTCATATAAAATTTTAATTAGATTTTTTTGTAAATCTAAAATAGTTTAAGGATAAATTTGTAATTGAATCTTATAGAATTTTTATTATCAAGGAAGAATGATATTTTTGAAAAAATTTTAAGGGCGTTTTAGTCCAAAACGCCGGTAATCCAACAATACCTAAGGAAAAGGAGATAAAGACATTCCCGGTAATATACCCAAAAAATCCACTATTGATAATCTTACATTACCGGGTATGAGACGGGCTAACCAAACGGGGGAATGTGGATTCCATTCTATGGGAATCCACATTCCCCCATCCAAACGCCCCCTTAGGTAATAGATAGATTGTCATTCTTCGAACTGATTGAAGAAGCCTTTTCTGCTTAGCTAACTTGTACTGAAGGTTTATTACAGTAAACCTAGGAGTGAGATGCAAGTATTGTTCTATTTGTCTGCTTAGTTAGGTTGCTTTATCTACCCAAAGCAATTTTCTAGGTCAACGTTGATCTGTACAGTAGAATATAACTTTTGCCTTTTATTCAACTACATCTTAACGCCTATTGTATCAATAAGGGATTTGATATATTTTAGTTATTTCAATTTTAATTTTGCAGGATGGTGACTTGAATCCCCAATTATGATCTGAAGCAAAAGTTGTATAAAAACTGGTTGGACATCTACAAGACATCTGGAGGCAATGACTTCCATTCATCTAAGCAGAGATGGTTCTTCTCTTTGTGAGTGTGCTTCTTCTGTCCATCAATTACCGATTGATTTAATAGCCAAGAGAATTTGCAACTTCTTGTTCACGTTATTTTTTTTGGATTTTTGTCATTAACTGATAGCCTTCCTTTAACGTGCATTTACAATGACCTAGATTTGTGTTGACTTCATATGTCTATTGAGAAAATGTGTTGCAATAATAGCTATGCTTGTAGTTTGAATTTTCCGTAATTCTCGACACATATCATTGTAGCATCTAGGAATTTAAATTGTATAGACCTTCTGCTTCGATGCATTCATTATTTTATTTTTTCTGCCATTGTTAACACTATATTTTTTGAGTTGTAAGCTTGAAATATTAGATGTTGGCCAGTCTAAGTTTAATTCAACTCTAAACCCTGAACTGTTACAGATGTTTATAGAACGAAAAATTTCCAGAAAATCTCACATTTTTTACACATGATGTAACTGTATTGTGTACTGTTTTAAAACAGAATAAGCGTTACATGCTTGTTCTTAATTGTGCTTACTGTCCTGTTCCAATGTAAGATTAATTTCATGCACTTATACTTTATATTTGTTCTTCCAGTTTTTATCAGTAATAAAAAGTTTAGTTTGGTTGTGATTCTAGTCTAACTTGGTTTCCCAGGCAATAGTTATCAGGATATATTGCACTGTGAGAAGAAACCTTCTATCAAAAAGGCCACGAAGAAGACTCAAATGTTGCGGATGCCTATCTTATGCATTCTGTGAGTACTTGTGTTGCCCTTTTGTGTGCTTTATTTCTATTAGTATTTTTTTCCTTCAAGTTGATTTTTGAGTAAGTTGTTCCTTTTGGTGTTTAAAATATTATATCATACAGCTCAATCACATTAAAACAAGAGCTATTGTGAGAAAGAATGATGCTAAAATCAGCAAGCATCAGATGAGGGGAGAGGAGATGCTTTCAGGTGAGGATTTCTTGATCAAGGGTTCACACGCCCCAAGGTATATTTTCCAGCATCTGTTTGGTGAATGTATAATTTGTTTAAGTAATTGCTGATTGAAACCCTAACTATAGTAAACTCTCAATTTGATACTAAAGTTTAAAAAGTTCTCAATTTGGTACTCAAACTCTGCTGTTATCCATCAGCTTGGAAATGAGACTAAAATTGTTTGTGAAATGCTGAAATGTCCAAAAATACAATACAATTGTAAATCATGGCATCTAAATGTGCCATCTATTTTATAGGACAGTGTTGGCTGGCATGCATAATTGATGGACAGAAGAAGTTGACTACCTAATTCTGTATTTTTAAATTTTAACCAGATTGACAATATGTTGGGTACCTAATGTGTACTTAGCCTTTATATGAATAGAACATTGCTCAATTGGTCAACATTTGATTATAAGCTTTGGAACATGCTTGTGTATTTGGAACCGGTCCTATACATACAAGGAAACAGAAATTCTGAAAAAGTGAATCTTATTCCAAATTTCTCCCTGTTAGTTTGACTACCATACCTCTTAAACCTTGGGAATTGTTGTGGAAGAGAAACTTTGGCAATAGTAAAATTCATAAATATCCCAAAAGATTAATTCTGAAAAATGCTAAGGCATTTCAAATATATCCCATGTGAAGCTGTATTTTTCATATGCAAACCTTGATAATTGATTATTATGGCTGAGAAATGACCTCCTAAAATCCAATTCTGTTGATTTGGATCATATATCTAAACCATTAATCTTGGCCAATTGCTAACCTGAATGTTTCATTCCATTCGCGGCTGACTAGTGTTCTTCTTTAAACTTGTCAAGTATTTATTATTAATTATGGATCATGTTCAATATCATCTAAAACATTTTTGCTGTGAAAACTCTCGATTGTGCTTTAAGCAATCACATTATGCGTTCAAATTATGCAGGTTTTGATCTTTACCTCTGAGGAGCATTGCCCTTCGTGTCATCGAGAGGTTAATACAACTAACTCCCGCAACTTCAAAGGTGCTTGTTCTTTGATTAGTTCTTTGCGAGCCATTTTTTCCCTTGAACCCATATTTTAGATTTAATCCTAAATGCCCTTGTTAGAAAAAGGGGAATCCAAAATACATAACTAAGCTCCGTCACTTTTGCATATCTCTTATTAGGATCATTAAACGAAAATGATTTTTTAATAGGGAGCCTCAACCTTGAGTTTTGAATAGTTTATTCAATATAACTTGTTGAGTTAGAAAAGCACCTCAAAGGTACTTCATGTATGATTTCTTTTATTTGGATATGTTTCATGTGGCCAATTAAAGCAAGAACTGAAATTATTTCAGTGAATTAAAACCATGGATCACCGTTAAATATATAGATGAGTTGGTGGCCCATTCTTTATTAATACTTGCGATTAGGTTTCTCATAAAAGTATTTGTATTTGGCTGTGTTTGAATATAGTGTTTGTTGGTTTTATTGTCCATATCTTTGATGTTTATTCTTTCCAGGCTAATGTGGAGCACATGACCGTTTTTATCAAGACTTTGGATCTGAAAAGGTTGAAGATGATGAGGAAATAGAGGAGCAATCAAAGAATACAAGCCTAATAAGCCTCCCAAACCTTCTGATCATCAATCACTTTTAAGGGTGATACAAGGGATGACTTCATGATAGGCATTAATTTACTAGGTAAAGTAGTACGGACTATCAGTTGTTCACTACAATAACCTTTTTTCTTTATATTTTGATTCTAACATTATTTTCAAGTTAACTTCTTTCCGTCGTCCATTCTTGCTAGGCAGTTTAATATATGCTTCTTCTAATATCGTTTTTTTTTTTTTACTTTCTGCAGGAAGACCATAAGCTTTATGGTGATTCTATTCCTCTGACATTATTGTTGCTTCTCCTCTGAATTAATGACAGTAAGCATTATGCCTTTTTGTTTTGGGTTAAAGAAAATTTGGTTGTCTTTGTTCTGGCTAGCCATTGTAAATATGGGCAATAGTCTCTTCACTCGTGTTATTGCACAAAGGAAATGAAATAGTATGGAAACTTAAGTAAGATAAAGCTGCAGATTTTCATGTTAATTACATTTATTGTATCGTCTCTTTAAAGCTTTATGGTGATTTCTATTCCTCTGACATTATTGTTGCTTCTCCTCTGAATTAATGACAGTAAGCATTATGCCTTTTTTGTTTTGGTTAAAGAAAATTTGGTTGTCTTTGTTTCTGGCTAGACCATTGTTAAATATGGGCAATAGTTCTCTTCACTCGTGTTATTGCACAAAGGAAATGAAATAGTATGGAACTTAAGTAAGATAAAGCTGCAGATTTTCATGTTAATTTACATTTATTGTATCTTCTCTTTGTCGATGTTATAATTGTATATTTATAATAAATGCCTTAATATGCTTTCTGTTCATCATTTTCAATTTGATTTGAAGCATTTTGATGCACTGCATGCTTGTATGCATAACTTTTTAAGCAGTCAGTTGATAACATTTAAAATTTGTTAGAAATTCGGGAAGGCAGAAAAAAATAAGGAGCTGGACACTGACTATTTGTCTTCTATAGAGGTATTTTCTTCTTTGTGCATTTCTTCTTTGCATCCCCTGTATTTATTGATTTAAATGATTTGGTCCGTATTTAATAAAGAATGAGCAAGTTATACTGTATGAACAGGTTGTTATTATTGATCATGCGGATGTAATATCAATGCAGGTACTTTGTGTGACCGAATTTATGTTTTTGGGCTTCGCTCTCCTCTTTATTATGATCAAGTAATATGCCTAATCCCCCAACCTTTTTCACTATGACTGAATGTAGAATTGGAGTTTCCTGACTTCTGTTGTTGAGCGTCTGAACCATATACCTTCAAAGCAGCATGGCACTAATGTTATGCGCATCAGACAGTGGTATGTTCCAATTAAATCTCAAATGATACTCTTTTGTATTATTCTTTCTCTTTCTATATGGAGATAATTTACTCCAAATAGTTTCTTTCTTCTTTAGGTACTTGGATGGATTTGCTCGATTTTATCGGCAGACAATTATTTTAGGTTATTATCTAAACCCAGGTATGGAGTTTCTGATCTTGATGAACTATGCCTATGTTTGCCCGCTTCTCAGTTCCACCATATTACCTCTGTTCCTCATCTTTTCATACTATTTGCTGAGCTGTTTACCTGGAAATTTTTAAAACAGTAGATTAATAGTTTGCTAGATCCAAATTCGCCCCCCCCATCAATGTGGGCATGACTGTTTTTTCTCTCTTTATTGGAATTATTGGGATTTCAGAAGACCTTTTTTACTAATACAACTCTTTCATAAAGAATCGGTGTGTTACATATAAATAAGGATTTTAAATAATTTTAAATCATAAACCTTCATGTCTATTGTGCCTTTGCTTTTTATATGTGATTTTAGTATGATTTAAACATCTGTGATGTATGTACAAGTTTAGAACAAAATAGGAGCCCTGTAAGTGTCTTATGATTATCACTCCTGTGAATAAATGTTTCTAATCTCTTTTTACCATTTACTCCAGACATGAATGCTCTTTTCAATCACCATTGTGTTAACTATCAAGGAAAGGTATGTTTATCATCTACCTCCTTTTTTTCTCTCTTTCCCCCCCTTATATTTCTCACATTACATAGGGAAATACTTTTATTCTTTTAAATACTTAAAACTTGGCTCAAACCATAAGAAATACAAATGATGACTCGGTTTGAAAGGCATACATTTGTTCTCTTTGTTTCAATTTGATAGGGAGACTGAAAATCTATGGGATGATTAGAGTGTAGAAATTTCATTCATCGGTTTGGATAGCTATTCCCCAGACCTTCCTTTCAAAATTTTTGTTTTCCCCCTTAGGTGACCCACTGACCAGATCTGAGTGCAGTGCCTGAAGCATGCCTTTGTTATGCGACCTTTTTAAATTGTAGAGAATGCTTTGAAGTTAACTAGTTGTCTCTACAGGTGAAGTCTGTGCGTGAGCATAAAGGAGTTCTTCCTAAAGTCCTATCCCAAGTGCGGCAGGTAAGCCTTCACTAGATTTGCTTCCTTATTAAATTGCACAATGCCTGATACTCTGTTGTTAAGATGTCATTAATATCTATCACTATGTCCCCTGATTTGTGAATTTGTCTCATTTATTTTTTTTTGATAAGAATGACAGGCCTCCTTAAAAACCTCCTTCTTGATCAAAGAAGGAGGAAAAGAGTGCCTTAGAAACTTTATTACTCCTCCGAAATTACATAAGATTTAACGTAGACACCATACTGAAAAAACACAACAGACTAAGCTACTCAACATAACCGAAAACCTAAACTCAAACGATAAAACGCACTGGAAACGACTAAACATCAACCAATTCCCATCTTTGCTAAACTATCAGCCTCCCCATTACACACCCTTGGAATCAGTCTAATAGAGTGCACCCTGTCCGTGATAAAAGATGAAATCTCTTTAACTAATGGGAGGATAAAAACTGGGGCCATAGCTGGTGTATGGACCCATTCCACAGCCGACTTACAGTCACTTTCCACAATCAACCTTCCAACCTTAACCCAACAAGAAGACATATAGATTTCAATGCCTCTCTTAATAGCCTTTAACTCAGCAACCGGCGGGGGACCCTGACCTACATTTTCTGAAAAAGTCAGAAGGGAGTTGCTATTCCAATCTCTCAAAATACCTCCTATACCTCCATTTGAGCCATCAAGTCTAACAGCTCCATCGACATTCATCTTCAAAAAATCCATAGGGGGTGGAATCCAGCGAGAAACCTGAAAATTGTAAATGTTGAGAGCTTTAATACCATCTGCAAGAGATGGATCACCAATCAGCACATCCTCCTGAATAGGACACTTAGGATACTTGGCTAGAAACCATTTAGATAACCTGAATCTAGCAATAAAAAAACAGATAGGGTATTAGATTTTACATTATACTGATCTAGTTTCTACTCTTCATTTTTGACAGATCTATGAAAGATTTGATGCAAAGACAATAGCTGATGCTGATGATGCTCGTCTGGAATATTTGCTAAGAAGGTTCATTTTCTCAAAGCCTATTTTTGCTTCAATGTGTCTTTTGGGATCTTGTCTTGTTAATTTTAGATTGCACTCATTATTGGTGCCTATTCATAAGATGACCTTATATTTCCTTAAGGTGAAAGGAACAACAACATAGGGTTCAAAGTATAGATCTGTATAGATTTCTTTGATGGTCTAAATTAAACAATAAAATCTTAATTTTCTCTCTTCTTGGCAATACATTGGACTACCAACATCCTAAGTACATGACATTGCAAAATTTGAAGTAAAATTCGTAACGTAAGTTGGCAGGTCATGATAATTTACACTAACATGGCAAATATATGAAGTGCTATATCTTTCTTACTTCCCTCAACTCTGCATGATCTGAAATATGATCCATTACTTGATAGTAATGTCAAGTAATTTAGAGTTGCATGCAATTGGTACAGATACACTACATCCGTTTAGATTTTATTTTAAGGGAGGTGGTGTGTGATGGCAATATTTCAGAAGAAGCTAAAATTATATCATTTATGTCATCAACGTGGTTATTCGCTGATGTTGATTGTGGGATGCTAAACCACATAGGCAGCCCAGTTTTCCTATTTTTGACATGTGCCTAATACATTAAATCTGGGATGCAGAGACAAGAAAACTGAACATAAGGCTCCCTTTATTCTAATTAAATGGTTACAGGAAACTTGTAAGTATGCTATATACATTTTACTTTGTATTTTCACTTAAAAATGGGATGGGATTTGAAGGGCTGAATCGTTAGCAGTGTCCATGGCTTGGATGACTCACCTAAGCCTTCATTTTCTGTTCATATTATGCCTGACCTGGTGAAAACAAGTTAAGGTTGATGAAATCTAAAGACTGGGTTTGGGCTAAGAGTGTGAGGGCCAACCAAGCCTGGATTGGTTCGTACAATTATTTTTCATTATATATGCTAAGAAGGTTTACTTTCTTTGGTTACTTGTATTAAATATAGTCTTCTAGGTTCCGGTAAGCTTGGTTGTGGATTCTGAATCCCTATCTGAATTTTTTTTTGTAGGCCAGATTGGACTTTATCAGAGCCTTTTTCTGTTAATATGACTCAATTCTTGCCTGGCATTGATACATGTGATCATTTAGGAAACTACTTGTTCTCTTACAACCATTTTATAGAAAACCTGGAGGAAGACTTATTTTCTTTCTCTACATTTCCTTGTCAATGAATCATGTGGTGACTTTTTTTTTTATATATCTGCTATGTCTAACACCTTGTGCCGGAATAGCTTAGTAGGATATCGGTTCTGCTATCATAAATTGTTTGTTTTGGAAATTGATGTTTCTTGGGACATTAATATGCTTTTGGCTCTATCCTACAAGCTAGCTTAATATTTGGGTAGTGGCATCCAATATACTCACTGAAACTTGCATGGATGTATCAGTTATATTGTATAACCCCATAGGATAAGAACCCAACAAACTTGGTATGGATCTTGTTCTGTTTGGACATTCGTATGTGTATACATCACCTCAATGAAAACACAGCAAAATGGTTGGGCTTGATATCTACTGATACAACTTGCTTTTATCTGATATTGTCAAATATCGACTCATACATTAATTTTCCTGATCCAGGTGTTTCCTAAAATAAAAGATTGTGAACAGGTACTATGATTGAGCATTCTTTGAAAAATTACTAGGACTAATGTTACTTTTAAGGTCTTATTATATTTTATTCGTTGATATCCTTTTCAGGGTGGGATTATGCTGTTTGCTAGCTCTTACTTTGAATTTGTTCGACTTCGAAATTTCTTGAAGTCTCAGAATGCATCATTTGTTTACTTGGAGAGTAAGATGCTCTTTCTTCTCTAATTCGGTGTTTTTTCTCAATTCATTGTATGCTTTATGCTCAGATAACCTTGTGTCTGGTTGAGAACTTTAATTTTCCACTACTTGTTAGTCATATATATTCTTTACGCTATAGCTACACCGATCAGAAGATATATCTCGGGCACGGGTTTGGTTTTTTGAAGGGAAGCGAAAGATCATGCTCTACACTGAAAGAATTCACTTTATCGCAGATACAAGGTTCCTTAAACTTCTCTGTTGGAATTCATAGCAATTGGCATTTCCTTATTCATGCTCATTGCCTTTTTGTAACAGTCTGTAAATTGTAATTTTAATACATGATTTTAATGCCCCCCCTCTTATTCTTGTGCCTAGATCCGTGGTATTCGGAATTTGATCATTTATTCTCTCCCTGAGAGGAAGGAGTTTACTATGAGGTGAGTGTCGTCACACCACACAAACTTGACAACCCTGTCCTATTTTGTGCAGCTTTCATTCTAAATTAAATTACTGTTTCCTCTTTTGTTCCAGATTGTCAATATGCTTGAAGGGTCAGACGATTTGGCATGCACTGTCTTATTTTCTCTGTTTGATAAGCTCCAGGTAATGTTTTATGATTTTATCAGTCAGTTTTTGTGGTATTGTGATGGGTATCAAAGGTCGACCGTTCAATTGTGTAGGGGTTTCTGGCATTCACTCTGCTAAAAGCACTTTATTTGCTATGATAGGATTGGTTCGGTTTTAGTATTTGCTGAAAGTGTTTTGAGGTAGTACTTAGAAGAAACAGCAAACCTCTCAAGATCCTTGAAAAAGGTTAAAAATTGCAACTTAAAAGAAAGATCAAAATGCAGTAATAGATAATAAGGATTATGCAGAAATGAAAGGATGCATATTTTTCTTTGTTTTGTTTATCTTTTTCGTTTTTCACGTTATTTACATCTATGACTCTGAACATCAGTATTCCATGTTTCTTTTCTATCTTAATGGTCAGTTTTGCTGACAGTAAAATTTTATTTTCTTATGCTTCCTTCATGGCAGCTCGAGAGGATTGTTGGGTCTGCGCCTGCCAAAAGAATGATAAAATCCGAGAAGGGGGTTTTCGTTTTTTGCTGAATAAGTTATATGTATTCATAGTTGGCCATTGAAGACCGACTGATGGCGATAAAACTTCCCAGAGGGAGCCAATGACTAACTGTCATGAGCTATAACAAAAGTAGAAAATGCATAAGATTTATTAGAATCATGATATTAAGGGATTATTGGAATCCCTTCATTACTTGCCTTTGTTGCAATTTATGGCTGATAAATCCATTACAATGATAAATTGGTTGTTTTTTTGGGCCTCATGTTCATAAAATGTGTGATGATCTACAGTTTTAGCTTTTCTGCTTGGCTGGTGATTCATTATCGCACTCTCCATGTTTAATTATTATAATGGTAAAATTCTATGTTTATACACTTATGATACCTCTATATGGTTATTTGCATTGCCTGGCGTCACACTGCCCTTAATGAAATATCTCATTCCATCATCACTTCTATTAATGTAGCTCTCATGGATTGAAAGTTTATCATGATGGAGGTTAGGAAGGAATTTACAAAACAATATTCAAAAAGATATTTAATTTTCTTTATTTCAAATTTATTTATAAATATTCGTCTTCTCCATCATTGATGAAGAGATCAATCAAAAAAAAAATTCACATCAATCATTTGAAATAAACAAAATTTGATGAACAAAGAAAATGAAAGAAAGTAATAAAGAAAAATAACTCAATTTCAATGTGGATGCATTGGATTATATATCTGTTTTTTTAAAACTCATTTGGAATTTAATTTGAATCTAGTTAGATTTTATTCACGTGAAAACTCTTTCAACGTACATTTCTCTACTTGCAAATTTTAGAACAGGAATTTCACTCCTTGTGAAAGGAGTGATTAGTAAGTTTTAAAAGTCTTAAACATGATTGATAAATTCAATGTATGGAAGGAGGACGTGATAGGTATTAGTGAAACAATGGAGGGAGAAAATAGACATTTGGTAAATTGTGAAGTCTAGGGTTCTTCACTATATAATGACTATAAATAAGGATTAAAGGCCTCTGAGCAGCCCTAATTTACCTTGTTTCTCCGTGAGTTGAAGAGGAAAGGAAAAGAGAAAAGAATGGGTGTTTTTACATTTGTGTGCAGGAGCACCGGTGGTGAGTGGTCTGCCAGCAATTGGAGGGTGAGATTGAGAGCTCTGCTGCTTCCACTTACGAACTCCAGCGGAAACTTGTCCATGCCGCCACCGCATGTGACTCCCGGCGGTGTTACCTCGTCTTTCTCTGTTATTACCCCTAGTTCTGCTGTTTTCCAGGTATTCCCCTTTTGTTTCTTTACCTATTTATTTGTTAATCATCTTCTCGTTATTATGAGATCTGTTGAAAAGACGAAATAATAAAATCATAACGGCAAATAATTCTCTGTTATTACCCCTAGTTCTGCTGTTTTCCAGGTATTCCCCTTTTGTTTCTTTACCTATTTATTTGTTTACATCATATTCTCGATTTATTATGAGATCTGTTGAAAAAGACGAAATAATAAAATCATAGCGGCAAAGACTAAAGGTCATTAATCTTTTGTTCAATTTGGTACTTCTATTAGATATGCTTTATTACCGCGCTGATTCTGATATCATATGATAATAGGTTATTATTGGAGGTGGTGGAGGCGGAGGCTTCATAGGAGGTGGAGCCGCTGCTGCCGCCCCTGCTGGAGGTGCCGCGGAAGCAGAGGCCCCTGCTGCCGAGGAGAAAAAGGAAGAGAAAGAGGAGAGCGACGATGATATGGGATTCTCCCTGTTTGATTAAGTGCCTTTACTGCTCTCTTAACTGTCTGGATCCTTCTAGTTACTTTCACATTTAATTTTTCTTTCATGCGTGAATTAGACTTCTCCTAGTTTGGACATGGTGTTTTCATGGTGATTTTGACGGTGTTATGAATATGCTTTTTTGGTATTTTTAGTTTTATTGCGGTTGAATTGCCTTACGCTTTATGTGTAATGTGTCATGTCATTGATTTTGTGGTTTGTCTTCTGTTGGGTACAAGCAGTGAAATGAAGAAAAACCACCCGTCATTTTGGTTAAATAAAATGCAGTTTTTGGTCTTAAATCATACATCTAAGCTAAGGCTTAGTATAGTCTTTTAGGAGCATATACCTTGATTAGATAGGGAAATGATCAAGGAGAAAACCTTAGCTTGAGAAATGTAGAATCACACTGGCAAGTGTTATCATTTTCTTTCTAGCCAGGAAAACAAATGGTGCAATTAAGCATTGCATTCAAAGTGAAGTATAGTTTGTCCCCAACTTCCCAATATGCTAATTGCCCATAGCAAGCACCTGATTAATGCTTGATAGTTTAAACTGATAATGATGGCGTTCTGCTTGAAGGTTGAATCTCGATCCTTTTGGCTTTGTTTTCTTGATAATCCAAGGGGGATTTATGAACATTGATTTGAATGAATGCTTATAATGAAGGCCACTAGATGAAATTTATAACCAGCAAAGGATAAAATGGAACTAAAATGTTATTTCTAGTAATGTCAGTGACATATTGGCAACGGGTATGTCGATGCTAGATAAAAGGGAAGTACCATCCTTTTCAACATTACAAATCTTAAAATTTATGATCAGTTTACCAAACAATTTTCCTTTTATTAACGGAAGTAACTCACGTATAGCCGATAACAAATTATCACACAAACCATGTACATTATGATTTCCACTGAAAACCAGTAAAGACTGAGGATTAATATCACTGTCAGAGAAGGAATTCATGCGTCGAGTCTGCATCAAATTTGGCGGATAGGGGATGAATACTGAGCATAAGAAAAGTGAACAATGTCCCAAACAAATGAGCACAAGGTGTAATAGTTGCTCCAGTGTTTTCTTTCAGTTTAAGCATCCTCTTCAGGAACACAATGACGTAGGAGCTGAGTGCATGGATTTCTTCTAGGCAACTGGATATATTTCTAAATATGTTGTTGTGTCACAAGTCAGACAATACAGATTGAAATTGGCGATACCAACTTAGTGGCATGCAGGAGTCAAAAGAAAACGAAAGATGAAAATGGAAGGAGAAACAATAATATAGCACAATCTAATTCAGATCAAAACACTTTAATCTTTTAAAATTAACTGATAACTAGTTTTATATCAAGAAGTTAACCTTTCCAGAAAAAGAAGCAGTTGGAGCAACTCAACCCAAGTATCTAACTGTTTAAAAATGACAAGGTTTTAATAATTATCTCGCTCCGTCACGGAACCCACTATTTTGAAGGAAAAAAATCATCCCATTGGAAGTGGTTTAGATTTTTATCATGTTTACATGTAATTTTTAGATTTATTTAATTTTTATGAATTTGATGATAATCTCGGTTTTTATTTTTATTTTGTTTGGTTTTGTGGGGAAACCCATTAGGAAGTGGGTGTTTAATCTCACAGGACCGAGTCAGTGATTGGAGCCCAGGCGAGGTGATTTTCATTGTACCTCCAATTTTTTTAAAAAGCTGTTTATTTGTTCGTTATTTCTATAAACTAATCTAATTATTTATGAAGTATACTTTTAATATAAAAATTTTAAAAAAACTTTATTAAACCCGACCCTAGTGAATACGGGCCGAGCCTGCAGGCTTGGGTCTTGACAGCTACAGACTCCAGTTCAAAGTAGATATATTGCCTAGGCCGATTTCCTCTCCGCTCTGTCCCCTCAAACACTAGAGATCTCTCAAAGTCGAAGGTTTCCTTTGCTTCTGTTCTTTCCTTGCCCCCTTTCCACCATATTCCTTCATCCTTGGTAAATACGTGTTAGATCCATGTCTATTTTAATAGTGACGAGCTTGGGTGATATTGTCGTGGATTTGTTCACAGACAAATGTCCTTTGACCAGCAAAAACTTTTTGAAGCTTTGCAAGTAACTTTTTTTCATTTCTCCAAATTTCATTGTAATCCATAATAATTCTCTGGTTCTTCATTTAACTAAATTTAAATTCTTTTGGGCGCAGGATTAAGTATTACAATGGGTGTCTATTTCACACGGTGCAGAAGGATTTTACTGCCCAAACAGGGGACCCTACTGGGACAGGCTCAGTGGAGATTCTGTGTATAAGTAAGAAGCAGATGAAACATATGCTCTTTACTATTCTTTCTGATTTAGCTTGAATTTGCCACAATTTCCTGTTTAGTTTCTTTATAATATTGTATTTCCACATCTTCCGACTATTTAGGTTCTCTAGTTGAGTGGTAACCATTGAGATTACTGACTCTTTTCTTGTTTGCTCATTCTTTCAGATTCCTTTATGGTGATCAGGCTCGATTTTTCGGTGACGAGATTCATCTTGATTTAAAGCATTCCAAGACAGGAACTGTTGCAATGGCTAGCGCTGGGGAGAATCTTAATGCTTCCCAGGTGTGGGGTTCTTTTGCTTGATTAATAATTACTCAATTCTCTTTTATTTAGGTTATCAACTTATTATGATAGAAAACTTGTTCATGTTCTACAGAGAATAAGGCCAGGTCTTAGTTTATTTGTAGCTCTACGGTTATCAACTTATTATGATAGAAAACTTGTTCATGTTCTACAGAGAATAAGGCCAGGTCTTAGTTTATTTGTAGCTCTACTGCTCTAGGCATTGTGAAAACCACTTGTGTTTCTTCTTATAAATCTTTTTTTTTTCTTTTTCTGTTTTCCAGTTCTATTTTACACTTCGTGATGATTTAGACTATCTTGACGGGAAGCACACAGTAAGTTTCTTGTTACATCCTCTGCTTTTAGTATTTCGTGTCCTTCTCCACTTTACTTATTGTGGTTCGATGCTATTCTAAAATATACTCGTGAAACTGCTGTTTATGAATTTTTCTTCGTTCCAATCTTTTAACAATTTTAGTCGAGAGCCCAGTAAGAATTATTACTTTGTTTATACAGTTAGGTTAAGTTGTAGGTACGGTTTTGAGATATGTGCCTGAAGGAGTTGAATGTGAATTTCCTATTGCTTCCTGTGCAACAGATGCTTGTTTATTAGAAACTTTAAATGATAACCAGAAGAATATGAAACCTATTTATTTTCCTGTGCAATTTGCAAGTTTCAACTAGAATATTCTATGGTTTCTAGCTGGAATATTCCTGCATATCCCCCATTTTTATGATTGTAAGAGTTATGCTGACATGTTTTTGGTACTTTAGTTTTTTCTCCTTTTTTTTTGAGTTCCTGGTGATTTATTTTGGATTGCTTATTTTTTATTGCTTCAACTTTTAGTGTACTTATGTCAAACATACAACCAACACTTCAAATTGGACTTTGATATGTGGTCCTGACCCTCCAAATACATGGAAATACTTGTAAAAATATTAATGTGGCTGTTTAAGACATTGCAACATATGTCATCTACATAAGCTTGTTTCACGCTTGTTTCTTAGCAACATATATCATTGCTCATTGATGGTGAATTGCTAAAGGAAATATGTGAGCCATTTTTGTCACGAGTGATAAGGTTTTTTATGGTGCAAGGCATACGATCATTAATTTTTATCGTTTATTTTGTAGAGCTTATTGTTTTGACATTGTAAGTTCACTTTTTTGTTTGTCCTACAATTCCTGAAAGAAAGTTATCATTGCAGGTCTTTGGGGAGGTTGCTGAAGGATTTGAAACTTTGACCAGGATCAATGATTATGTAGATGACAAGAACAGGCCATATAAAAATATCCGGTATAACCTTGTTCCATATAAAAAATTCTGCGCTGCAGATCATCTGTCTCGTTCTATTTTGTTAGTTTGTTTCAATTTTTTCTGTAACATTTTTATTAGTTGTCTCTATTGAACATTGAACAGAATAAAACACATATATTAGAGGATCCTTTTGATGATCCTTCCCAGTTGTCCGAGTTGATTCCTGATGCTTCCCCTGAAGGAAAACCAAAGGATGAGGTAAGGACTCTTTCAGATGTTATTTGTATTTTAAAATGTTCAGCAGGCAAGTGATCTGCATATCACTTTTGAGATTGTCAGTTCTTTTTCTGTGATGCTTACCCATTTTCTCTAGTAATTATGTTACATGCAGTTTCCCGTGAGATGTCTTTATCTTTAATCATTTGAAGAAGGGAAAATGTCTCTAACTTTATACGTTGTAGAAAAGTACTATAAGCATATGGGATACATCATACACTGAAATTGAACAGTCTCAGATTGCCGAGGAATTTGCTAACTTTTTAGCGAGTATTTCAGGAGTAAGTTGCTTTAGGAGCATCGATTCCCCCCCCCCCCCAACAATTCAAAGTTCATTAAGAGAACACCTGTGGTTTGAGAAGAAATTAAAAAACTATGTAGGAGATTAAGAGTTTTGCAGCTTTGCTTATCCCTAGATCCTTTCTTGATTCAGTATTTTTTTCTTCTTCAAATGTTTGTGGGATTAAGCTGTTTTGGCTGAGTATTTGTATCTTCAATTAAGAGTTTTGCTTGTCCTTAGATGACTTAGCCTTTGAAATATCCTTTCTTGATTTTAGTATATTCCTTTATACATATGTATATTTTCTGTAAATAAGGGAGAACGCTGAAGTTGGTACTTTGTGGTTGCTGCATTATTATGCATCTCTAAGAGGCTCCAGATTTTGACTGTAGAGGGATGGGGATGTCTGATCTCATTGGTCCATTGCTGAGCTCTAATGGATACTAGAGTTTCTGAATTAATGTTGTGTATTAAGAAATAATCAGGGGCCAAATTTCATGTCATATACTTGCATCTAGGTTGATGATGAAGTTCGGCTTGAAGATGATTGGGTTCCCATGGATGAACAACTAGGTGCTGCAGAACTTGAGGAGGTTCTTCGGGCAAAGGATGCCCATTCAAGTGCAGTTGTACTTGAAAGTGTAAGTTCCTGCGTGCATGATGATTGTGTTATTTTTTGTTTGAATGTGACCTTATCTTATTACTGTCTTTATCTCCATTGCAGATAGGAGATATTCCTGATGCTGAAATTAAGCCTCCTGACAATGTTCTATTTGTTTGTAAATTGAATCCAGCTACTGAAGTGAGTGCTTGTTTTGTATGCATTGTGGGCAACATATGTGTGTATATATTCATTCTTTTAATTCATTATTATTATTTTGATAGAATATAGGCCTCATTAAAAAACCCCTTCATATCCTACATGTTATATAAGTAACATGAAGGACATAGGAAGGAGGAAAAGAGCGCCTCTGAATTATATTAATCTGGAACATAACATACAACCAATCCATAACCATAGTCTGCTTAAAACATAAGACTTAACAACCTAAACACAAACTGCAGCACTAAAACCATACTCCTTAAAAAACTGAATGGACACCACAGCCTAAAAACAATAACTCATAACCACAGATCATCCTATACCAGCTTTTGCTAACTCATCCGCTTCCCAGTTAGCAGCTCTCACAATATGTCTTAAAATGATGCCCTTTCCTTCCACATAATTAGCTACGCCTCTTACCAATGACTGAAACAACGGGGTACGTAAGTCTGGATTTTTAATCCACTTCAGGGCCGTGGTCGAGTCTGACTCCAAAATAATCCTCTGAGTTGGAAAAGATCCCAACTCCTCGATGAGAGTAAAACCTCTTTTGATCGCCAACGACTCTGCAAGAATAGGAGGACCTCCTCCAATTTTTTCAGAGAATGTTCCTAGTTTCAAACCTCTGTCATCCCTAATCAGACCTCCAATTCCTTTGTCCCATCCCTTAACCATTGCCCCATCAACATTAAGTTTAATGAAGCCTTCTGGCGGAGGTACCCACCTAGAAGTAGGAACGCACCTATGATTCTGTCTTCCAATCGAGTCTGCCAATTTTAAATCCCCAACTAGAGAGTCGAAAGGAATATTAATATCCTTGAATCTCGCCCCAAACCAAGAAGCAGTTCTAAATCTAGCAAGAAAGAACAGCAGTGCAAAATCCACTTTCCCTTTCTGGAAAATAATCTCGTTCCTACATTTCCAAACCGACCACAACACCGCCCTTGGAATGAATTTCCAAATAGTAGATCTCGGAATTAACTCATCCCACAAAATTAAGAAGTCAATTACCTTCTTAGGAACCACAAAAGAAACATTCCAGCCCCTCAAAAATCTAGACCACAAAGCCCAAACCACCTCACAATGCAAAAACAGATGTGAGAACGACTCCTCCCCCTTCCCACACATCGGGCATAAAAGGTCCTCAATCCCAGCCACTCCTCTCTTCGACAGCTCCTCCTTCAATGCTACACTTTGATGTGCAACTTGCCAAAAAAAAACTTCTACACGTGGAGGAGCAACCCCTGCCCAAACATGCCTCTCCCAATTACCCTCCTCTCCCTCATTACCCTCCTGGTCATAAAACATTGTGCCTTCTTAATAGCTGCAACCATTGCTCAACCTCCCAATCCACCAAATTCCTTCTTACTTGTATATCCCACACCCATCCTGAGTTACTGTGCATCCTGAAATCTGCCACTTTACCCCTTTTGTTATTCGATAATGCAAATAGTCTCGGAAACCCTTCAGAGGAACAATGCCCAGACTTTGATTGGTGAAGTTTATCAGAGAGGACTGACGAGGAAGGATAAGTTGGCTGAGAACAATAGGGTGCTTTCATTTTTACAGCTGTTTTACTCCTTGCACCCTATCGTGCTTGCTCCTTTGCTTTAATCAGAGGAAAAAACCTCTTTTCTAATCAATTTTGACAACTTTCCTTCCCGCAAGATAGAGCTTAAACCAGATTCATGCAAGGTACATTTGATTGCCTTTTTTTTACCTGCAGGATGAGGACTTGCATACTATATTTTCGCGGTTTGGAACTGTAGTATCGTGAGTATAATATTCTTAATAGCTGGAAATATTGGGATTCTTGTGGTTTTCAATGTGTTTCTCACTGCAATTATATGCCAGGGCCGAGGTAATCCGTGATTACAAGACTGGAGACAGCTTATGCTATGCTTTCATTGGTGAGTGGAATCTTGAAAATTTTGTTATTTTAATCCAAGAATATCTATAACCTATTATATGAGAAGCTTGACTTCATCTTGTTTTTAAGATAATATTCTATCTCTACAGTCTTTTTAGTTCTGCTCAACTTAAAACTTAAAATATTGTTGAAGAAAACTCTTACAGATTGCTTTTGGAAGCTTGTTCTCTATCTCTAGTCCTAAACTTGAGTGGAAGGTGGATTTTGTTTTGGTTGACAATGCTGTTTTGAAGACTGAAGATGAACCTAGATAGAATAAGATGGCAAAATAGAGTACATTAAGCCAGATCCAAGTAGTTAGTTTGGATTTTGGTTATTTAGTCTCATTGGATAATTTATTAATAGTGGTTAACTCTTCGATGTTTCAATAGAGAAAATAATGTGTGTTTAACTCAAACACTTAGGTTTCTTAGCAAATTTCCATGATTAAACATCCACCTATCTTTGAGTTGCTAGTTCATAATATAAGCAGAGCTCAGCCTTGTGCCTTCTTATGTGTGGTTGCCATTGAGATCAAGTGAGATAAAAGTGGAAGAAGATTATAAAAAGGCTTAAATGTCTTATTTTATTCAATTGCAAAGATTGGTCCTCTTTGATAGAGAAGATAGTTAGGTCTGAGAATTGAAATAAAACTATTTTTAGACTTTTATACCCTTAGGTTTTTAAGGGGAAAATGAGAGTGTAAATAATATATTTAAGACTTGGTATACACTTAATGGTATAAGATTGTTCCCAATATTATTATAAATTGTCTACTTGGTAGCAATATCCTTCCTTTGGACCCTTTTATACCATGTTGTTCTTTCTTAAGGCAATTGATGTGTAAGAAATTTGGATACTTACTGACATTTGATTCTCATACTGCGATCAAATTCCCATACTAGTCCCTGCTGTTAATGGGCTGTTCTGTGTTTTAAAAAGCGCGCCTGAGGCGCTAGGCGAGGCGTTTAGAAAAAAGCCTCCGACCACCAAGGCGGCGGCGAGTACATGAGGCGGCGATTCAGTCGTCGGAGGCGGCGAGGCGATGCTTTTAGCGATTCACGTACAATGACCCATTTTTAAATTTTGGGTCTGGGCTCGATTTTCTTCCAACAGTCAGACCTTTTAAATTCCAATTACTTACATTAATGTATTCCTGGAACTTTGAATTGTCTCTTGACCTTCTAACGTCCAATTTTTTAATTACTGTATGTCCATAAATCATGATCCAAGCTCTCTAGTTTCTCCGATGCATACCCTGGAGCTTCTTTTCCCTCCTAAAATTTTCTCTCCCTCCTCCATTCATGCTTAATTCAACGATTGTTCTACGTTGAAGTTGAAAGCAGACTCCTTTCTCAGTTTCTCCTATCTCCTTTCTCGATTTTCTCCATTAAGGTAAGTCTTAATTTTAAAATTTGTATCACTGTAGTGTATGTACAATCTGCTTTTCTTTTCCCCTCCACTCCTACATGGTTAATTTACTTCACTGTAATTTGTTTAATTGCTTCATCTTCAATGTAATTTGTTTAATTGTTTATATATTGGAAGACACAAGCTTTCTTTATCGGTTATCACGGCTGTATATATATAATCCGCTTCATTGTTAAGGTGATCTGCTTACTTGTTATTTTGTTAAGGTAATCTGTTTAATTGTTTATCTATAATATGTTTAATTGTTAGGTAATCTGTTTAGAATTTAGATATATAATCATTAAGGTTTTCGCCATTAAGGTATTTGTTTAGATAATCTGTTCATAGAAATATAGAATTTACTCATTTTAGGCTTTTAAGCACAATGTAAATATGTAATTTGTTTATAGATAATCCTGCTCAATATGCATTCTGTTTAATTTATAGATTCTGTTTATAGTTTTCTGTTTTTAATCTGTTAGTTATAATATGTTAGTTTACTCTGTTTTTATTGCTAATTTGTTAGTTATAATCTGTTTTTTATGCTTTTCCAAAAAAAAAAGCTTACTGTTTATATTGCTAATCTGTTAGTTTATAGATATATAATCTGTTAGTTTTCTGTTTTCAGTCTATTGCTAATATGTTTTTACTTCATACACTTTTTTTTTTGATAGGAATAGTAGGCCTCACTAAAAACCCCCTTCATGATTAACGGAACTTGAAAATAGTTCCTTAATCAGCGGAAGGAGGAAAAGAGTGCCCTAGGAGTTCATTAATCTTAAAAACATTACAAAGTAATACAAAGTCTAATCTCCCTCCAGAGATAAAAAGCCAAAAAGAACCAGCCCTTAACAGAACATAATACTCAACCAATACCAGCCTTAGCTAGAACATCCGCCTCTATATTGGCTGTTCTACTAACCCATCTAATAAGACCTTCATAAACACTAAGCTTTTGAATAATTTCCTTAACAACTTGAACATAACGACAGACAAGAACCAACATCCTTGACCCAACCAATTGCCACCTTACTATCACTCTCGATAATCAATCTCTCTTTAAATCTGTGGCGAATAGATTCATACTAAAATAACCCCTTTAGGATAGCTTTCAATTCCATCAAAGTTGGAGGTCCCGGACCAGCAGGGTCTTTGAAGGAGCCAAGAATCGAACCAGAACTATCTTTCAGAACACCACCTAAACCACTCCTCTTCCAATCACTAAAAGTAGCCGCATCCACATTAAGTTTAATAAAACCCTTTGGAGGAGGGGACCAAGGAACCTTAGTTGAAATCCGATTAGTATGAGACGAGCAAGAATCCACTAAGGACGGGTCGGCAATAAGCATCCTTGAAATAGAAATCTGAGTTTCCCTAGCTAGAAACCATGAAGCAAGCCTGCACCTAGCTAGATAGAATATTTCTGCTCGATCAAACTTCCCTCCTTCAAACACTATATAATTCCTAGTTTTCCATATTGTCCATAAGACCACTCCAGGGATAAATGACCACATCAGAGAGTGGTCTTTAAGTTAGTCCATGCTACTAGAATTTTTTTGCATCTTCATGAAAAACAGACTGAAAATTCCAGTAACCCATGAATTTAGTCCATATTGGCCAAACAACCGAACAGGAAAAAAATAGATGAGATGAAGACTCTCTTCTAGATTACAAAAAGGACACATAGAATCATTTATGCCCTGAACACCTCTCTTAACCAGAGCTCTTCACTGCCAGCTTCTTTAAGATAACTTGCCAAAGAAAAGTCTCTACTCTTGGAGGCAGCAAGCCCCTCCAAACAATAGATTTCCAAAATTAGCTTCCTCCAAATCAGAAATACCCAATAATATAGATTGTCACATGATTTAACATTGAAAACCCCTTCTCCATTCCCCTTCCACAACAGTCCATCAACAGCATCAGTAGAAACAGAAAAATCTGAAATAACAGCCATCAAGTTGACCATTGTTCAATTCCCAGTCATTCAACTCCCTTCTCAACTGGACGTTCCAAAACCAGCCCCCAGAACTGTAATCCCCAAACTGAAATAATCTTCCAGTTTTGTTCACTGCAATAGAGAATAGTCTAGGGAACATGACCATCAAAGGATGATCCAATGCCCAATTGTCTTGCCAAAACCGAATATTCTTCCCATTGCCAATTTTGTAGCTATAATTGCTCCTGATACTACAGCCCATCGAATCAGCTTTAAAATGATTATCACCAAAGATCTCCATATCCAAGAAAATTTAGGAGAAACCTTACTATCAAGCTGCATCAATGAAGAATCCATTTTGTATTTAGTGCAAATCATTTCCCTCCAAATCGCCTTCCTCTCAATAGCAAACCTCCAAGCCCACTTTTCCAATAAAGCCCTATTCATCGTATTTATATTAGGAACTCCCAAGCCTCCTTCAATTTTTGGTTTACAAACGCTGGACCAGCTTACCCAATGGATTTTCTTCCTCCCACCTCCTCCACCCCATAAAAAATTTGACATAATAGAGTTTAGGGTCTTGTATACTGAAGCTGGAACCTTAAATATGACAATAGTATATAGGAAGTGAACATAGGACTGATTTAATCAAAACCAGCCTGCCCGCAGTGACAAAGAAGAGCCTTTCCAGCCTGCTAACCTCTTATTGAAGCTTTGAACCACTGGATCCCACAGAATGTTAGAGTTCCTGTGTGGACCAAGAGGGAGTCCCAAATATTCAGAGGGAAAATAACCCACTGAACATCCAATCGTAGCTGCCCAATCCTTAATTTCCTCTTCCCTTAAATTCACCCCAACAATTTGCACTTCTTCAACTGAAGTCCAGAAATATCTCAACACTCGAAGCACCCCTCTCACATTCAAGATCTGTTTTTTCGACGCCACAGAAAATTATAAGGTCGTCAGCAAATTGTAGACGTGTTAAATTAAAATTCTTCCTCATTTCTAATCATCAAACTCGAAAAGCGACCCCTGAAACAGCTTTAAGTATCAATAATTCAATAGTTCCCCAACTATATTAACAACAACGAGACAAAGAACAGCCTGACGAAGACCCTTAGCCATTGGGATTTCCTCAGTTGGAACCCCCATTCACCAAGACTGAAACAGTTGCTGAAGTGCACTTCGAAATCCACCTATCCATCTAGAACCAAATCCCATTTCCTCATAATTCTGAACAAATAGGCAGTCAAGAGTATCATATGCCTTCTTGAAATCAGCTTTAAAAACACATCCTTTAAACCATTCTTCTTCCAAAAGTCAATCCTTCATTGGCTATAAGGAACAATCCAAGATTTGTCGACCGGGAATAAAAGCAAATTGACATGGACTGATCAAATCTGAAATGCAGCTAAGTCTCCTTGACAGACATTTAGAGAGGATCTTGTACAAACCACCAACTAGCTAATAGGTCTAAAATCGTCCAAACCGCCAATGTTTGAAATTTTCGGAATAAGATGAGAAAGTGTGATTTATTCATGTCCCATCCTCCCCAAGTAAACTTCTAAAAAATCATAATATCTTCCTTAAGGACCTGCCAAAACCTCTTGAAAAAACCCTATTAAAGCCATCAGGACCCGGAGCTTTATTACTTCCACAAGACTTCACAACATCCCAAACTTCCTCCTCTGAAAATTCCTGCTCGAACTGATTCTGCTCCAACTGTCCACTAAGAAAACTGCTTAATTCTTCAAAAAAACCAGCTTTCTCTTCCTCCACTGCTGGACCGTATACATTGATGAAACACAACTGAAGTTTTTATTCCGGAATTTTCCAAAGGTAGCTATAATCTCCTACTAATAAACTGACTCTCCAACTCAAAGATATTGTCATCCCAACAACACAACAGGCCCCCCGCTGATCCAACTGAAGGAGATTCCAAAACTCCTTTAAGCTTATTAATCCCACTTCTCCTAAAGAAAGACCTCTTAAATTTTTCAGTCTTAGTTTCTTGCAACCAAAGGAAAGTAGGATTTAAGCTAGTGACTAAATTCTGAACAGCCCTCTTTTTTTCATTTTTCCCCAGACCCTAACATTCCATGAACATATACTAACTTTGACATCTTCATAAAGGGAACAAGGTACAAACAAAACCCTCAATCAACCAAACCTTGATTAATCCCAATCAAGCCTTTCTCTAGAGCTATGATTTTTTCCAAAAATGCTTCTTTCCCTTCCTTAAAAGATACTCCCAAAAGCTTACTAACCTCCCTCCTCTTCCTTCTAATTAACAAACCAGATTTGGGTCTTAAGCATTCACCTTCAGAACAGTAACCTTCAATCTCCCGCTCTACGGTCCCATCCCCAAGACCATTAACAAAGCTAGGAAGAAGACTCCATCAGCAATGAGCTCTGTTGAAAAAACAAATCTGTTTTGCAGTGCTGGAGTCCACATCCAACTTCCTCTTCCAACCTTGGTGCCATCTATTCATTCGTAAAGTTCAACAAATCTCCATACCAATATCTCTTTCCCTCGACCTGCTATAGACCTTTTGCAACTGCTCAACTTCTAGTTCCAGCACCTCACTCTCAGATGAGACCTTTCTTCTAGAACGGTGCAACTGTCTCCCCCTTGAGATGTTTCCTAAATTAGTTGTAACCGGTTCAACCAACCTTAAACTTTCTTCTTCAGCCTCACTCTCAGATGAGACCTTTCTTCATATAAATTCTGTTTATAAATATATAATTTGTTAGTTTTCTGTTTCGATACATTTTGTTGTTATGTATTTTTTGCTATGTATTGTATTTTATGTTTTTATAGATTGCTGCTATGTTTATTTAGATAGTTAGATTGTTTTTCTAAAATGGCCACCGACGATGCTACCGGTTCCGCTGATGATGCAATTGATCCGGGGAGGAAATATAGTATACCTATGCTACTTGGTGTTTTTGCTTATTAAGTTGTTTTGTGTTTGAGATATGGTTATAAAATATTTACAAATGTTTTGTAAAATTAAGCGCCTCGCGTACGTGAATCTCTCGCCTCAAAGCGCCTCAAAAAATTGAGGCTCTCGGGTAGCTAATCGCCTTGGAGCACCTCACGCCTTTTAAAACACAGGGGCTGTTAAGATTTTTATTTTGAGTAATTGAGCAATTGAAGGATAAGTTATACCTTTCATTGGCTGTAGCACCTAATCTCCTTCTTCAGTAGGATTAATTCTTCTGAGTGGACATTGATAAACTATGCCCTCTCTGTGACCCATTGCCTAATTTTGGAGCACTCAATCCAGTACTTTTCACTGTCCAAATCTGACAACACTTTTTCCCTTGTCATTTCTTTCAAGCTGAGCTGCATCCCCCTCTTTATCGCCTTGTGAGCTGCCCCACTTATCAGGGCTGTTTGATCACTCGATGACCCCAAGCAGTATCAATAGTGCTTTGTGAAGTGCCACTGGTTCTGCCAATCATAGGCCTCCTAGCACCATAATGTGACGCCCTTTTTTTCTTCCATCAATGCATATTGTTTACTATCTTCCAGGTTAGACGGAAAAATTACTCCCATCTCATCCCTAATAAATTGGTTTAAACTAGCAAGATACTGGGAGGTCGTTTGTTCATCTGTCTTATTTAACCTAACTCTTATTAAGAAATTATTGAACTCCAAATTGCACTCTTCTAATGCCCTAGACTGCTTCAAGAATGTCTCATATAATTCCATTGCATAATCAGCAAGCAGAAAATTATCCTCAATTTTATTTTCATGTGGTCTTGTGTCTATTTTTTGCTTTTTCTGTCATACTCACCTTTTTCTCCCACTCCCTAAGGTTATTATAGTTAAAGAAACGTATCCCAATTCTCAAAGAACGGCGAGGTTAAATTCTCTTTTAGAAGTATATTTTATCTGATAACAATGGGTCGTGATGTGTTTGATTTGTCAAACCATAGGCAGTCCATTAAAACTTCCTCTCTTTTTTTTGTTTTGATCAGCACTTACTATTACTTATGTTTTGTTATCTTGGGTAAATAATATTGTCAATGGTATTTTATCATTTCAGAATTTGAGACCAACGAGGCTTCTGAGCAAGCATATTTCAAGGTATAACCCTAAAATTGATCTTTCCTTTCTTCGGGATTGCATGTTTCTTACTTGATGTTCAAAGATTATATGAATTTATCGCACAATTAACTATTTTCTTATTGTTGATCAATCTAATATCTATAGAAGACAAGGGTTCCCTAAGGAATTATAAGTATTATTGTTGTTTTTTCATTGAAAAATCCAGGTTTCTGGAATTTAATTGTGAAGGAAAACTAATTTTATTTTGTTTCAACTTCCTTTTTGTCAATAAGGGTTTATATGTTGTCTCAAGAGTACACCCTATTGATTGGACTTGAGACTTCAATTCTGAGGTCTAAAATTAAATCTTGTATTAGATGGATTTTTTGGGGTGGGAGGGGGTTACATGCTTTCATGGATGCTAATATGGGCATCTTGTCATCATTGTGTAACCTAGCATGTGTTAAATTTCAATGACCTAAGCAAGAATTGAGTATAAAGAATATTTACATCGTGTGAAAATTATTATACTTGCGTAATAAAACCTGTTTTATATTAGGTTTAGATATTCTAGTGGCTGCTAGACCAAAGATGTAATCTAATTGGACTCGAGGTTTCTCTAACTAGGCTTATATTACCAAAATAACTCTCAACTCTTAGATTACAACTATTTTTAGAATTCCGAGTAAGGTTTATAGGAAGTTGAACTCTATTATGGCAAACTTTTTGTGGGGGGAAAGTTCTTCAAAAAGTCGGATTCACTGGGTGAATTGGAAAAGGGTCTGTCAACCCTTAGAGGAGGGAGGGCTGGGAATCTTGGATTTGAATTTTGCTAACAGAGTGCTTCTAGGTAAATGGGTATGGAAGTTCGCAAATGAAAAAGACTCACTGTGGAAGAATATGATTTGCAGTAAACATAATGTGAGTATGCTGTCTTTAGACATTAGAAAGGTAGTATCTCCTTCGGATTCTTGGATATGGAAGGGTATTACAAAGAATTACTTGACAGACGACGCAATTGGAAATGGTTTAAGATTCCACTCGAAGATTCAAGTAGGCAATGGAAAGTCGATTGTATTTTGGCATGATGTGTGGCTAAATGAGGATTCTTTAAAGAATCAATTCCCAAGGATTTATGCTCTGTCTAACAAGTGGGGAAAAGTTACAGAGTTTGGCAGTGTCTTGAGTAATAGATGGATTTGGAACATTCAAACGAGAAGAAGTTTGTGTGATTGGGAGTTGGATTTCTGGATTCGATTGATGTCATTATTGGAAAATGTTGGCCTGTCTGATTCGGGGTGATGATTTTCTGGCGTGGTCGGGGAAGGGAGATGGACTGTTCACTGCTAAAGCTTGTAGTCTAATTCAAGGGGTAGTCCCATTTGGAAAAGGTTCGTTTGGGCAGGTTTGGCTCCACCAAGAGTTGAAAATTTTCTCTGGCAGGTTTCTCATCAAAGATTGGCAGTTAAAACAGAGTTAATAAGAAGAGGTGTGAATTTGGAGGAGGTCGCTTGTTCGTTTTGTGCTAAACAGGAGGAAACAATTCAGCATTTGTTCATATCGTGTTTGGTTGTTTGGGATCTATGGAGCAGTTTCTGGAGGTTATGGGAATTTCGTCAGTCTTGCCTAAAGACCCATCTGTGCTGTGTTCTTGGTCGGACATGAGGCCGAAGTCAATTATTTGGAGCTTTATACCGGGGTAGTTCTATGGTCTGTTTGGAAGGCAAGAAACTCGGTGGTTTTGATGATTGGAATTGGACATTCCTTCGCTTTTCTTCATATGCAGATTTAGATTGGCTAATGGTTCTTAGCTAAAAACCAGAACGTTATTATTCCGGTTGATTCACTAGTAGGGGTCCTACACTTGCTGATAAGCATTATACTAGTGAACCGAAAAGGAAGAAGGTTCAGGGCTGCTTCCTCTTCCTCTTCATTTCTTTAAAGTCAACGTTGATGGGGCAGTTAGAGGGGACGGGATGCTGGGGGGAATTGGGGGTATTTTAAGAGACTCAGAAAGTAAAATTCTTGGGTCTTTCGTACGCCGTTGGTCCGGTCTTCCTCCCACTGTAGAGTTGAAAGCCATTGAGAAAGGAATTGACTTTTTTCTCTCGTCGGAATGGGCGATGAAAGGAAGGTTAATTATAGAAAGTGATTGTAAATCAGTGGTGGATTGGATCTTGCTGCCGACATCATCTCCTCGTTTTGTTAGTTCGTTGGTTCAGAAAATTGTTTCCTTAATTTTGGACAGGGAGATCATTGTTAGACATATTCCGAGGAGTTGTAATTGTGAGGCTGACACCTTAGCTAAGCAGGGGATTGGATGAATATTTTAAATAGCCTTAGAGATTTTTAGTAGGGTTGTTGGTTTATTGAGATTGTTGGGGGCTGTGATAGTTTCGTTGTTGGGTATGGGAGGGCTGGTCGTATAGGGGAATTTGTTTTTTTTCGTTCTGTTATTTTTAAGGTTTTGTTTGCTCGTCTTATGGTTGTATCTTATGTACTTTGGTTATGATCAATAAAATCCCAAGGCACTCTTTTCCTTCTTCCGCTGATTAAGGAGCTTCTCTAAAAGATCCTTTAATCAAGAAGGGGGTTTTTAACGAGGCCTGTAATTCTTATCAAAAAAAAAAAACTCTTAGATTACAAATAATTTATTAATATGATGTGGTTAACTATCAATTATTCTTTCTTTTGGACTAAAAGGACTACTTTAGTTCCAAGAAAAGATAGCCTTAGCTTTTTGATGCGCAGATGTGGCACATGAAAGAGGATGAGAGAAAAAAGAGAATTGAGAAACACTGATGGGAGTTTAGACGGACATAGAGGGTATAGAAGGAAAGGTCAGAAATATAGTAAGGGAGAAGAGAGAACAAAATGGAAAGTCTCAATACTCAGATCTACTTTCTTAATTTATCAAACGTAAGGGTTACGTCATACATGCTAAAAATACAAAATTAATATGATATTAACTTATATGCCAAAAGTATATAAAATGCACACTTTATCTCTTTGGAAAACTTGCAAGCAAGTTCTTTTAGAAATCAAGATTCTAAAATGGCTGGTGCACTTTCAAATAGAGAACATATGTGTGTGTGAATCAAATATTTATTTTTTCTTCACTTTTCTTTGATATGGGCATGGTAAGTTTGTTGTTGACTGAATTTTTTATTGTAGATGGATAATGCATTGATCGACGACAGAAGGATACATGTGGATTTTAGTCAAAGTGTTTCAAAACTTTGGTCTCAATACAGGCGCAAGATCAACAAAAGGGTAAAGGTAATTTTACTGCTAAAATAGACATGTTGCTCGCAGTGGTGTAAGGTTACGTGCTTGAGATCCTAGTCATACCTTTTGAACTATCCTTCCCATCGTCAATGCTTGGCACCCATCTTGTGATTTGATGCACAGATATAATATTTGTTATGGAAAGTTAGAACCTGTTTGAGTGGCTCTGGTACAGAGTACAACCTGACTTCTTAGTTTGTTTAGAGTCAGTATATGGAAAATATTGCAACTTTGATGATCAAGTTCTTAAATGGATGGATTCTATTGATTCATGGAGGATGGGAAGGTTGAATGCAAAAGATGGCATCAGAAAAGTGCTTAATTACCTTGAACTGGTAGACTTGAAACCAAACAGAAAAATCCTTAAAATATTTGCAGCATATGCAGCTAAGCCTTTATCCTCTGATTTGATTCAATTGATCCCACCGTGTGTTAGGCTGAACTAATTGAAACAAATGGAAATTGACATCTTTGTTTAGTCTTGTCTGCTGGCATTTGAGTGGTTAAAAGTGGGTCCTTGCTTGATGAGACAACATACTTGCAAGTTGGAAAGCATCGAACATTTTGGATAATTAAACTGAAAAATATTTAAGCTAATCAGTGCCTAATTTCCTAATCAACAATAATTAATGGAAACATAAATAAAATATATCTAGTAGATCAAAAAGAAAGTGAAAAATTATTTGACCACCTTTGCTTCTCCACTGACACTTCTTATTTGTTCTTCTTCTTTGCCTCTGCTGTCTTCTGTTTCTCTCCTCTCTTTAGTATAGTTGCTTCTGCTGCCAACAAAATCAAAGGTCTCGAGTTACGATAATAGTTCCCAATGAAAGTAACTCGCAAGAAAAGCTCATCATTGAAGTCTCTCTCTCTCCCCTCTTAGGCTTCAAGCTTATTGGGGAAAAAAACAGTTTTTTGTCTTTGACAATAATATGTAACAATTATTAATATTAAGAGCTTAAATCCGTATGGGAATTCAGTCTGAATTAACTTTTAGTTGCCCGAAAGTAACTGTAACTGGACTTAAACTGCATGAATCAGTGCATATAGGTTCTCAACTCGCACTTATAGAAATCTTTTCGGCTTGAAACTGAAGGGAAAAAGTCAGAAAAAAGAATCTTGCAGTGATGAATATGGAAGGATAGGAAACTTGTAAAAGATAAGCTGGGTGGGGGTATTTCTGCTGCCATTGTCTGATTCTGTTTGTTTTCTTTTGAGAAATCCTCTAAAGATTGGGCTGAAGATTGTTTCCATTATTTGTTTAATGATAGTTGATATTTTTTTTTTTTGATAAGAAGATAGGCCTCGTTAAAAAACCCCTTCATGATTAATGGAACAAAAAAATGTTCCTTAGTCAGCGGAAGGAGGAAAAGAGTGCCTTAATAACCATTAATAAACAAGAGTTACATAATGTTTAACAACAGAACTCTCCCTTACAATAATAAACCCAAATGCTGAAAGAATCCATACACACGAGAACTAACCGATACCGGCCTTAGCTAAGCTGTCAGCCTCAACATTAGCTGATCTAGGAATGGAAAAGAGTGCCTTAATAACCATTAATAAACAAGAGTTACATAAATGATAGTTGATATTTGATTACAGAACATTTGTAAGTATGCACATCTCTTAGAAGTTAGGTTCATTGCTGCTTCTTTCATGTTTTCTAGTTCCTTCATCTGAATCTCTGTTTCTGGATATCATGTTCTTTTATGCATTTAATTTTTGCAGTAGCTCTTAGCACATTAACATGTTTTGTATATTTTGGGCGTAGGAGGAGGTTGTTTTAAATGTGGCGCTCTTGATCACGTTGCTAAGGATTGTACTGGGGGACCAGCAACCCAGCCTTCTAAATATATTTTGAAGGATGAAAATCCTCAGCATGGTGGAGATAATAGCTCAAGGTTTTGCGAATTTGGATGCTTTTATGTGCATTCCTTCTAGACCCTATTTCTTTCTTTCCTTTCCATTGACAATGCCATGATTGTAATAGGTATGAGATGGTATTTGATGGAGACACTCCAGAGAGTCCCCGGGGAGGAAAAAGGCATCGTGCCCATGATTTTGATAGCAATGAACGCAGATACAAAACAAACAGGAATACTTCTGATGCCATGGAGGGGAAAGAATTCAATGATAGGGATAAGCAGAGAAGCCGAAGTAGAGATCACAGAGCAGATATGAGTCGATCTGGTGGGAGGAGAGATGAAAAACATCTTAGAGATCAAATTGATGGAGAAAGGCATGTAGACAGACAAAGAGGAAGAGATGAGCGCAGTCACGGAAAGAGTAGTTCAGATATTGTCGTGATGACCAGAGAGGTGATGCAGGTGGCAGAAAGAGATATGATGACAACGATAGTCCAAATAGGAGACATGATGATCCCAGGAGGAGTGAGGATGATAATATCTATGGAGACAAGAAGGACGAAAGAGATTATTCTAAGAAAAATGCAGTCAGTAACAGAGGAGACAGGAATGAGTCGAGTCACAGAAGAAGTGGTGCAAATGACCATGGCTATAAAGATAGGAGGGAAGAACGGATGGATAGGCACCGGAGAACAGAAAGTGATGATGATCACGACAGGGATAGAAGACACCGAGGTGATAAGAAGAGATAGAATGATACATGAAATGCAGCAAAATGGAGTAGCCGATAGGCGTGGTATCGCTTTTTTTCTTTTGGGAAAGTGAACAATCAATTACCATATACATATGAATCAAGTAAAGCTTAAATTATGACCTTTGCTAAGGTGGCCGGTGACTGGTATTGTCTCATCGTTAGCTTCTTTTGGATTCTTACTATTTCGTTTGCATTTTTAACTATATTTGATACTTTCCTAGTTTTACTACTGATTGCTAGTACTCTTCATTTCTTCCACTTTTTTTATAGAGAGAAGATTTCGGTTAGGAAAGAGAAAGAGGAGAATAACTTTTTTTTTCTCTTTAAACGTGGAACACCAAATTATCAATGCCTTTTATCTATTTTAATTTACACAAATCTATTTATTTTAGCGGCATCTGTCTTGCATGGAGTTTTAAGTTTATGTTTAGGTTTTAGGATTTAGAATTTAAAGGTTTAGATATAGAGTTTAAATTTTAATATTTGGGGTTTTAAGATAATGGTTTTAGATTTTAAATTTGAAGATTTAAATAAACATATTTTTTCATATATAAAAAAAATTACTTTAGAATTTATTGAGTTTGCAAATGACTGACTAATATGGTCTTGACTAAGTGGAAGGACAGTAAAACTAAAAAAAAAAGATTGGTTTATCTCTAAAGTATATATTCATATGTACAATAAACATAAATGAGCAAGTCATTAGGATCAACTATAACAAAATGAGCAACCATGTCTGGTGGTGTGGTAAAATTGTGTAGTTTCTTCTAAGCAAATAAACATAAACGACATTAGATCTTTAGCCACGTGGATGAAAGGATTTTATATAAAATATATCAGGTTTTATTATATTTACAATATAATTAAATGAAAATATTTTATTTAAAAAGGTATAAGTCGTAGTTATTAAATTGTTACAAACACAATTTTAAAGGTGTACAACTAATTGGAATAAAATATAAATTTTTTATTTGCAGGGTTCAGTTATCCTGATTCTTGTAATGCAGCCAGGTTCATTTCAACATTTCTTTCTGGTTAGTCAAGTAATTAAGAAACGAGATCCTTCCAGGTTTCAGCTACAAATAATCGTTCCTTCTTGCCAGTTAGGATTTGCTTCTGGTTTAGGTTTATGTTAGACAGCTCTCTCTAATCAATAAAACTTGGATAATGTCGTCTCCACGTTTCGAACTTTATTTTAAGTTTTTATATATAAACCGTAGATAAATAAATTATTAACATTTGATAAGACTTATTCGGCCCATAAAAGAAGTGTACAGTAGCAGTGTGCGCTGGAGGTAGATAAAGCTCTTGTTAGTACTAGGGTGCAAGTAGAAAAAATAGTTATGGTTTTGGAAATGAGCAAAATGGGCTTAGGCTTTAATAGATGCAAGACCTAAAGGGTGAAGCTTTCCTGCTGGTATTGGAAGATTGAAGCCATGTTAGTAAAGGAGGATGAGGGAGGTAAAGTTTGATGAGAAGAGGCTGTTGAAGAAAGTAATACCTTTCTTAGAATGGAAAAGACACCCAGAGAATCTGGTTATCATGTCAATTGCAACTTGTAAGCTGCTGTAGAAATACAACATGCAGAATGGGATTACTCTGCTCTGCTGCAATGTGTTGGAAGAAGTGATGCCGATGTGAATGTCTTGTATGAAAATGGCAAAATAGTCATCCACTTACAGTCACAGACTCACAACCTGTATTATTTTGAGGATGGATTAATCCTACACACGATTAAAGTCCTAATAAGGCTGTTATGCTCATATGGAACTGCAAGTGCTTTCATATGGCGACTCTGTTATATTCTTTGATTGCAGACGTAGGCTCTTAACTGTCTTGGTGCACCTAAAGTTTGCAGATGAAGCAGTGACATATTCGGGTTGGGCGTTAATACGACATGTATTTTTTTTAAGAAAAAAACATTGATAAAATAAATGGGGTTTGTTGACTGTTGACATTTCACACCTAGTTAGAGAGGAGATTCACTGTCGATAGATTTTTAACCATTAGATGACGATTGTGATGTAGATGAGATGAAGAAAGATTATTAGATAGAGAGTGAAAGAGTTGGGAAATTCTAAAAAAGAGATTCTTCTCCTTGTTCCTCTCATAGTAATTTATGTATTGACCTCTTATAAACGTTGGTTTATATAATGTAAAGATAATTTGGTAAAATATACTTAAATAATTTTATATTATTAGAATCAAATATTGTAATCTATATTTATGTCGGGAAAGAAACCATGACATCAATTTAGAGGGTGCAAAATGAAATAAATTAAAATTTCAAGTTACATTTTAATAATATTAATTGTAAAAAGCAAATTTTATATGGTGAACAAAACACCCTAACCATGTAGATTTGTAGTATAACGTAAAAGGATGGAGTGCTGACACGTTGTCCACTCAGTAAATATTGCTAGAAATATGCCTTTTCCATTCATTTACCTATACAGACAATGGTTGTGGAATGGACCCCACCATTATAAGATTTGTGGTTTAAATTTTTATTTTTATTTTGGTCCGGTAGTTTATCATTGATCATTTCACGTGAGATTTTGGATGCTTGCGATGTTCTTCCTATATTTTTCTCTACTCATTGCTTATCAAGAAAAGAACCCTACTCCTGATAGACAAGGAATATGATACGCGTCTTCTACTTCTTCTTCCTCTTCTGTGAATTACCTTGAAATGATTTTACAGGCCATTTTACATACAAAGGAGCATGCTTGTGATTATTGTTTGGGTAGATTACAAATTTACTTATACAACTCTACTCTTTTCTTATTTCATTTATCGTATTTTAATTTTTTTTTCAATTTACTCATTGAATTTTATAGATTGAATTTTTAAGGTCACTCGACCGTTTTTTCTTTAACAGTCGGATGATGTGGCTTATTTTATTAATATATAATGGTTATATGTATATTTATTAAATTTAATTATTCATGTAATTTTTAAAATAAAATAAAAAATTTAAATCTCCTAAATCCTAACCACAAATTACAATCCCAAATTCATAATGTTCAACCGAGAATCTAAACTATCAATAGAGAAAAGAAACAAGCGGGTTGATTCATTTTTTGTTGGACTCGCATTACACTAAACTTGTCAAGTTGGTGCAGAAAGCTTTGCTGTTACAGACCCTTAAAGAAGCTGTCGGAAAACACAATATCACTTCGTAGAAGTCTCCACTCGATCTCTGCCCGTCCTCCCAATCTAGAATGTCATGGCTCTGGGCCCATCATTGGCCTCGTCACCGGCTCCGGGAACCAACACACCCCACCACCATTTCAAAGTTTAGTAAGTAAATTGAAAAAAAAAATAAAAGTACGGTGAGTGGAATAAGAGAGAGAATAAAGTTAAGTGAGTAAATTTCTTTATTATTATCGTTTAAATCTTATCACTCGAGTTGCTAACAAGTTAGGGGATAAATATTCGGAAATGATGGGCGAAAATGAGAGGGGGAGATCTTGCAATGGGTTTTGATTAGGGTATTAACAAAGGGGTGGGAAACCCACTACACATGATTGTGGCAATGAATATTCTTCATATTTGGCATCATAACAAGAATATGCCCAACATATTTCCGAAACGTGGAGTAGGAATAATGATATCTTCTGTTTTTGGAAGAAAGGAGTAATGATATCCAAGTGGCCACCATCTTCATTCCACTAGGACAACCGTGATTCGCATCCAACTTCACCCCCAATCTGTTACCCCACCATCCATATTTTTAAACAAATCGGATACATATCATCCATGCATACCTTCCTTCTGTAGTTGCAAGAAGATTTAGAAAACGAGTAACCCCACACGGTTTTGATTTGTGAAGTAGAATCTAGAATGATATACAAGGAAACTTCCAATTATGCCAGACTTACTATAACAGGACTTGAAAACAAACATATTATGTTGCGCGAGTGAACTAAATATCCATTTTATGTCGCACAAATGGAAACAGGTGTTGGAACAAATATAAGTTACATTATTTGTCCCAATACATGAAACATTTAAATTATTTATATGTTCAAGCCACCAATGGAATTTGGATGGTGTGAAGAGCCATTGAGCGTAGGCGATATGAAAAGGACATTGGAATTGGGGCATCTTCAAAGTTGATGACTCCATTTAAATTAGATGCTTATGCTATAATTGCCCACGTCAAATCAATCATTATTTCCTACAGGTCGGTTGATTAATAATGTATGTTATTAGATCGGATAGAAATTTGGGGTGTGTCACACTAACGGAATTTACAATTTAAGTGATTAAAATGTAAATGGAATCTAATTTTAGTGGTCATTTTGTAAGGTTTTGAAATTAAGTGACTAAAATAAAAAATTAATGGTTACGTGATCAATATATAGTTACTCTTTTTATATATTATGAAATTTTGAAAGATTCTCTCAATTTTCACTTTCATCAAAATTCTGTAATTTACAATAAAAAAAATAATGTTTTAAGTATCAATTTATAGGAAATGTTAAAAAATATTAATATTTTTGATAATATCAATTAATCATATATTAAAACTGTTGTACAACAAAAGTATCCTTTTAAAAGTATATAATATAAGTAATATATATTTTTGTCGTGGAAAGACAATCCTAGCAAACCCAACTTGGCCATCCCTACAACAATTGGATCAATTAAGTAAAGATTCCTTTTCTTTTTTAGTTATTCTATGGATGCTATTCTAAATTCCGTATAATAATATAAAGAACGCATTAGTTACTTTTTATAATATTTTTAATGAAATTAAATACAAACTTATCATTCCCCTACACTTCAACATTTTAGTGGTGATAAAAATCCAACGCTACAAAGCAGGATTCGAGTGCACTCACCAAACGATGGGTGGAGAATGAATTGGAAGTGAACATATAGCATACACGTGGAGAAGGTAACAGGACGGCCGATTTTATGATAAGGTTTTATTATTATTAATAATATATAATAAGTACAATACACTATATATTTAAAGATAACTCTCAATTTCTCGATATTGAATGCTCAAATTTCTAATATTTATGATACTCAAACCCATATCCTCAAAGAATAACAATA